CCAAATGTAACGTGGGGTGGGCGTTCGTCACGTGCCAGTAATGAGACCCTCTCGACCCCTCTCTCCCCGGGCGCTAGTATGAAATTTCACACATACGCGAGCTTCTCATTATTTGAATTTTTTGATAGTTCGTAATGGTTGCAATTTGAGTCGTACGTGTTGTTTATGTATGTATGTGTACAGTATTATACGGTACTTTATATTAATAAAAGAAGAAATTAAACTTAGTATTTATAGGAAGGTACACACCCGATATTAAAGATGTATTATAGCCAGTTTTTTTTAATCATTATCGGCATGAGAATTACGTTTTGGATATATGTATTCCAGTAAAATGTATTTGGGGAATAAAGCACAAAAGTGATATGGTTGTTTGTGAAAGACAATATGAATACCTATATCCCAAATCTACAAATTTTAATATTGTATTTAACAGCTCATTCACCTAGTAGGTATAATGGATTTACTTTATGGTCGGTTATCTATGGCGTGCTTAAGTTTTGTGTTAATATTTTTTGTATACTTAAATATATATATAATAATAAGTATAGGTATATCCTTCTTCAACATGCCCAAAGAAAATAATCAGTAAACAAAATATATAAAAAAACGTTATTTTTCTAATGCCATTTTAAAATATTATGCAATCAAGTACTTAAAAGATATGTTTAAAACATCCATTATTCGCGTAAAGATGCTATTATCGAGGTATTACGTACGTGCTTTCGACAGTTCTCAAAATCAATTATTGCATAATGCACTTCCCGTATCCTGCTTTTGTGAAAATACAACACTTACGTATCTATAGGTAAGCGTAAATGACCGCGGGCGATTACCGGATTTAGGTACTCGTATTTGTACAATACCCAAACTGGAGGAATTACCATAGAGCTAAGAATATCAGCGACCAGACGAGATTCAATTCTAAGAAATTAATTCCGCTTTTTATGTTTCCCTGCATTTCTAATATAATATAACTTAAACGTATGAAGAAAAACATTGATGTGAGATTTAAATACTTTAACGGTATTAAACGCAAATATTTATAACATTTTTGACTAGGACTCGACGTTTCGGTTACTTTACAGTACTAACGCTGGTCGCGCTGAGTTTTATTTTTATATTTCTAACAATAAATAACATTTGTTCATCCTTGAAATAACTATCAATACGAATATTGCTTGGACAATTGGAAAGTCGAACAAATAATATGGTATAAGTATAGGTAGGATGAGAAGAGTTAAACTCAAAGATATTTACTTGGTAAAGGTGGCCCCGCGGTTATGCTTCACTGCTTTTTCATATGTGGATGGTGGTTTCTCGGACGGAGTTCCTATACACTTACCACTCCAACGTTCGACCTGGTGGGGTTTCTATACACGACCCGTTGTTTATAAGCCATACATTGCTAGCATTAGACCAACGATTCCATCAAAAAGAAATAGAAATTCCCCGCGACCACGGCTGCTGCAAAGCATCCGAAATCCGAAACGTCGGGCCGAAGTTAAAAATCATTTTCAAATAAGTTTAACTAGTAAATCGAGTTTTAAACCGTTAATGTGTTTTATTTAAATATAAATTTATTTTAAATAAGTACCTAAATAAACAAATGCGTTATAAAATGTAACTTTAAGATCTAGTCTATTTGTTTCGAAGTCTATAGCAAACCGGAAAGGCATCTCAAACTTAAGTGCCCAATTACAGAGTTACTTCGCCCTTTACTCGCGATATGGGGCTTGCATCAAAGTTTGGAAACATTCTGCTCTGTTCGCAGCGGGTTGCTTCACATTTGTGTATTTCATGCGTTATCGAGTGGTAACGACTTTTACTGTTCCCATTCAATAGTACTGTTGAACTATTTTAACTGATTTAAACTTAGTTTTGAAACTTTAATATTTCGACGACACAGGCGGGACTTAAACCAGCATCAACAGCGTTTCTTGCAGGTGTTCTAACCTATTAACCGTGGCGTTTGTTTTTTTTTCAATCTAATAACGAAATAAAACAAGATTTTGAATCTTGTTTTAATCCGTTATTTGTTTCTTTAGTACCTACTGTTCGCTGATGAATTAACTAAGTTTAAAACCCACTTATGTATTTGTAACTTAACATCCCGCTTAACCTAACTTGCAATAATTAAAAAGCCTGCAACAGATGTAACGCTAAGACATAAACTTAATTTATTTAACCGATATTCATCTTAAAGGAAAAACCGCATAAGCCCAAGCAAACAGGCAATAAAAATTAGAAAGTCCACGAGGGTTGACGAGTCGGCCGTTCACACAGAAGGTCGTAAAAGTATTTCTCTCAATTACGGCAATAAAAATAATATTGTAGGCAAACATGAGTCTTTGAGCGTTCAGCCGACAGCTACCGATTGGTTTTGTGCAACCCTCCTATACAACAATGCGTTTGCGAACAAAACCTAGCTCCTTCAAAGATATTCCTTTATTTTGGCCCAAACATTGGCATCGGGGCATTGTGACGGCTTTTGTTGGCTATTTACCGACTTTTGGGTTGCATTCAAGGGAGCACAAGATGCCGCTTATCGGAAAAAAATGTGGCTTAGATTTGCTTCTATGAAAGGATGGATCCGTTGACGAGTTAATTTGGACGTTATTTAAATTGTATTATAATTCGGCTATGCAGAAATCTGCTTGGGGTATTTGTGTGGTCTCGAATTGATGGATGGTGAAGCAATATTAATACTGTAATTAGAGCATAATATGTAAAGATGGAAAGTACTTTGCTTGATATAGGTATACCTATTTGTGTAAAAGTGTTAAAACCTGTTTTACCACTCGTGGGGCGTGGGGCGAACACATTTCTGTGTCACGGTCAAGTAGTTAATCAGACTTCTGTGCCCTGCTCGACCGAAACGATTTTCTTGTTTTCCTGATATCGCTCCTTACATTGCTAGCATTAGACCAACGAACCCGTATAAACAAATAACAAAGTATTTTACTTAAGGGTCCACAACCTTACCTACAATATGTAAAATAGTAACTGATAAATACTGGGCACTTAGGTAAATAATGTTATATACTTAATATTATTACTTACTTATTTACATTAGGTTTAAAGAATTTATTACCACAAGAGTATACATTCACTTAAGGTAACATATTGCAACTAATGCGTACGTAGCTTATAATTAATTACTTACTTATAAGAGTTATACTACTGACTATTTTAAATTTAAATGAATTGTAACAAAGGCAGGTAGAAGAACATTTTAAGCGAATACAATATGATCTACCTACAACTACTCACTAAGTGACATTACAGTAATAGTAATTACATTGATAGAAGGCTACTAGATGTGACATTGGAATTGACGCTTTTCTATATATCGTAGTTTGAAACATACCTATATTTTAAATAAGGTTAGTTCTCGCTGTTGATAAGTAATAAAGTTTTTAAATTAAGTTTTTATCTTGTTAAATACATAAATGTTAAGTAAGTTTTTGAATGATTTAATAGTAGTTGCGTTCTTTAATGCTATTGGGGAGATTATTATAAATTTTTGCTCCCTCATATTTGACATTCTATTTACCTATACAACCAGGGCAGGTAAACAATAACAATACTTCGAAAGTGCCGAAACACAGCAAAATCAACCCTTACCATTAAGTTTATTATCTGCATTTTCAGGTGCACCATAACCATAAAATTTTACAATATTGCCAACCGAAACATTTGCGAATCGACAAAAGTATCGGCCTTCTTATCCGACATCATAAACTATCTGCGAGATAAAATGTTTGTACTAAAAACTTCCGCACAATAGACTTCAAAGTTCTTTGAAACAATGAGCCATAAAGTCTAGTTAAGCCGTAACGGCTACTTTATAGTGTCCGCCTGTTTGACCTGTTTTAGAATGATCTGTGATAAGAATACCTAGCTATAGATTATAGAAAACTTGGTGAATGTATTAAAAAAACAATCCCCTAAATACCTATAATATTTGCGTATTTCTTGATTAAGTGAAGTATTAGTAAGTAAAGATTGTAGGTACTAGGTATAGATATTCAATAAAAAAATTGCAAACAATTTTACGTCATCGATTTTATTGACAGGCAAGTATTTTATCACACATCTGCGTCTAATACTTCACATACAATTTTTTTCACATATACAAATACATATATATTTTAGTAAAAATCGACTCTCTTTTTTTATATAGTATTGTATTTGTACGAATTGCATCTAAGTATAATTAAGTTAATAATCTTAAAAATATTTTTTTATATTTATGTAAGTATTTTTACTGAATACTTATCAATAATAAAATAGAAGGTAGTAATATGATGATTTATGGATTTATGGTATTTTGTTGTTCTTTTGCGCTTGATCAATTTTATTGCACAAAATTGTGATGAACCTATTATGATATTTCTGACCTCATTTAAAACATAAAAATTCACACTCCTATACCTACTTAAAAAGTACGTCTTACCCTGAATCTTTAATTGTTTTTTTTAGAAATAACTTTGCAGACTCTTTACGAATTGACGTAAAGATAAATAAATTTCATAAACAAAAAATTTAATTAATAATTAAAAAATAATATTTGGACTGCAGATTTTGAACTTGGAAAACACAAGTTTTCACGTAAAGCACGTGACGCGGGAAACTTGTTTAAGTTTCACGCCCAAAGCTCCGCCCCTTATCTGTGTCTCGCTCGCACACTCACTGCGTTCCACTTTCTTACTAACTTTTCACTTCTTTCAAAGTCATTGCGAACTTCGCTATCTATTAATTATTTAATTGTGACAATTAATCAAGAGTTGATTGTTAATAGGTATTTGCTAATTTGGAATTAATATAAAAGTTACCTGTATTGAACATTTTTAAAACAGTATCGAAAGTCGATAATGAGGTATTCGAAGCGTGGCACGAAGTAGCGACCGACATCCCCAGGTGATCTGGATTCCTCGCATGCTTCAGCAAAATGAAGTGCCACCCTGCCAGGTCAAACATGAAAATGATAATTTTTCATGAGCTCGTTGATAGGTTTTCGCGCCGACCGCGGTTTCCCGCCGCCCCGTGGCCTAATTACCGCCGCCTCGCGATACGTCACATCGGTAATTCAAAAAAATCCACCCGTCCCGCTCCCACGCGTGGACGCGGCCCGGCGGCGTCCCGCTCGCGCGAGCATTTTTATAAAAACGCAGAGATCAACCGCGGCCGTCCCGTTCGTTCCCGCTGCGGCTCCGCGCCGCCCGCACCCTTCGTCTCCTTCCCGCTTTTTACGAGACGTAGGGGCCGCCACCCGGTGGGGGCGGCGACCGCGCGAACGCAAAATATTGACCATCGGAAAAAGTCGCGTCGTATCGCAGTCATCAGTCGAAACTGAGGGCCCGCGTGTAAGCGTACTTTGGCGCGACTTCGGTGCGTGTCGTGCGTCTTCGGCCTGCGGTCCCGGTGGGTCGCCCGTTTATTTTTCAACCCCACCCGGCGTCTTGCCCGTGCCCAACAAGTGGTGAACGATTGCGGCTCACACGGCGTCTCGCGCCCCTTCCTTAAACAACTTGGAGCGCTCCGCGAGTTTGAAATTCGTTCGCGCGTTCGAAACTTTTGCGAAGTTTTTGAATTGTGACGTGTTCGGAGAGCGGTGGCGTGCAGACAGTGTTCTTAGGGTTCTGAAGTCGATGCACCTTCCGCACGCGAGCCCGACCCCGACCATGGCGGATGTATATACACACATTCACGAGTACTATAGGCAGAGTCACGGAGACCTGGTGCAGACTGGTTCCCCAGCGGTTCTGTGCTCCGCGCTGCCTGGCCACTGGCGGTCGAACAAGTCTCTTCCGGTGGCGTTCAAAGTGGTAGCATTGGATGACGTTCAGGACGGAACCTTAGTGACAATCAAGGCTGGCAATGATGAGAATGTCATGGCTGAGATGAGGAACTGTACGGCAGTGATGAAGAACCAAGTGGCTAAGTTTAATGACCTGCGGTTCGTTGGAAGGAGCGGTCGGGGAAAATCCTTTTCACTGACCATCACCATCAGCACCTTTCCTTCGCAAGTGGCAACGTATACCAAAGCTATCAAAGTTACCGTGGACGGACCGAGAGAACCTAGAACCAAGCAAAGTAAGTCCGATTTAGTGATTTTGTATTTATTTTATATAAGCTTACTATTTACTACTTTATTCCTGCAGGTTGTGAAAAAGTATTTTTGAATATCCTTTTTATTTACGACATTATTCCTGTGGACTAACGATATATTATCGCGGCAAATATTTTTAACAGGTTTAAATAATATTACGTATAAATCCAATGTACACTTAAACAGCGATCATTTCAATCATTATAACGATCTACTAAATCAGAGAAAAAATGCGAATTAAAGAGATATAAATGAAATGCGTGTGCGCTTGGCCAGCCGCCAGTAAGTACCGAGGTCGGTTTTGTGGCGCCGCGGCATTTGACCACATTCAAAATAGTTTTCACAATCCACTCACACTAAAATCGAAACGACTTGACATGAACATTTGATGCGAGCAATAAAACATTTCATTTCGGACGTCTGGTCTTGTGGCGATCCGATTATATTAAGTTTTCAACGCCGAATTTCTTGACTATAAACAACCAAAACAGTTCTACACTATCAAAAAAATAAATTATTACTATAATTCGAGATAAACACATCTGAATAAAACACTTTTAACGGTTTAAACTAAATTAATTGAATTAAAACTTCACTAATATATTTCGCGTTGTAAACCGTTCAAAGTATTTTATTTAAAAGTTCGTTTCTTAATTACGTTTTTTAGCTTATAACTAAAAAAACAATATAAATCTTATATTGTCTTAAACTTCTATACAGTTCTTAGTAAATTATGTAAAATAAAAATTAAAAAAAGAGAAGATAGGTGAACAACAAAATAAAAATATATTACTTTTATATTGAAGAACTTTTATGCATAATCGTAAATCTTTCGTTCAAATATTAAATTTATAAAAAAAATGTCCAATCGCGTAGCACACTAAAAACCAATTACATCAATTGAAGAATCAATCCATACAAACAGTCTTTATTCTTTCAAATATCTATTCTACAAATAAAATTTAATTCAACATCTGTTCCTTTGTAACCGAAGCATCAATCAAACGGACATAAATTAGACACTCGATTTAAATTCTAGTTCCAAGAATACCAACTCCTTCGTACAAACTTTTAGTAAGATGTTTTGACGTTCCGTTTTATTTAGTGTTACTTTGTGATCTTTGACGCACTTTCAGAGGGAAACACTCGTTATCAACACATTAAGAAAAGGTTATACACATTAAGAACATAAAGGCAAACCAATGTATAAATCATTTAAATAAAACACTTTAACGGTTTAAAACGCGATATATTAGTTGTCACGGCTGCTGCAAAGCATCCGAAACGTCGGGCCGAAGTTAAAAATCATTTTCAAATAAGTTTAACTAATATATCGCGTTTTAAACCGTTAAAGTGTTTTATTTAAATGTGTACTACTCGCGTAAACTATAGACAGTATTTAATGGATAAATCAATTGTATGGTATTGTTATTTAAATAAATCACTTTTTACGGCTTAGAACGCGAAATGTATTTGTTGTCTTATATAAAATTATTTTAAAATTTAAAATATTTTTTACAGAAGTAAAGAAAGTAATCCTAATATCTTACTAGAAGTACCTTTTTTACACAGATTATTGTAGCTTTATAAAATAATTATGGTCGTTTGTTCGTAAAGATCACAAAAATAAATTCTAAATAAGAAATTGAAATGACTTCGATTTTGTACAATCAACAACGATGATTATAATAGAGAGTACAACGACATATATTATACCTACCAGTGGTTACAGAACTAGGTCTTACGCCCCTGAAGCAAGCCAGTAAAGTAAAAATATAAATCAATCAAAATAACGAGGAGACACCAAATCACGTTCAAATCATAATGTTTTGACACCACAAATCTATTTTCGTTGTAACAACCTCAGCGACCGTCTGTATAAACAAATGCCTGCGCCCGAACTTCGGCCAATAATAAAAAGATAGTATGCGGAAAAACTAACATCCTCCTGGAACATCAAAGGGGATAATAACCCGATCATTTGTGTTACAGCAGTAATTAATTTGGAATGAGACGTCTCGCTGGCGTCATTAGATACATTTTGTGGCGCGTACGCATACAATTAACCCGCGCTCGTTTGTTTCTCTTTGTGTAATTGATTGGTTTTGAGACACAAAAAAAAAACAAAAATTAATTTAAATTGAAGAAATGACACGGACAGACTTGAACCGGCATTCACAGCGCTCCGTGCTACTGCTCAAACCAATTGAGTTACCATGCCATACACACTGCAGTAGCAAGATATGCTGTGTATGCCGTTTCAAGTCCCATCAGTATCGTAACTTTTTTAATCAGACTCTTATTAAAAATATCTTTACAACTTATTTAGGTCTTTAACTTTATTAATATAAAATCAAAATGTTAAAGAATTAGTAGGTCGCTTTCCTTACTAAAGACAAACGTCAAAATAATCTAGAACATTCGAATCTTATTATGCTATATATACATATACACATTTAGTACGGCGGTTAGCAAGTTCCACGGTGCGGCCACGGCCTGTAACAGATGTAAACAATCTCTGGAACCGTCGTAAAGTCCGTTTGATCTCGCCTGCCTCTAAAATATGGATTTTATGTCCCTCCTCAATGCCCCAACACCACATCTACCAAGCCTCTGCGCCATGTGAACCGAATGTTATGATTCAGTTACGTCCTTCTTAACAATGCGCAAGAATTGCAAATTCTATATTGGTTGTACCCTCCACTTTCATAGCATTTAAGTTAAAGTTAATGAATTCCCAAAATATCGAAAGCCCATATGTCGATATCGCATCTTCTTAAGATGTTAGGTATATGCCTATATGGCTAACCACCATATAGGCATACACCACACATACGGTTCTACTCGTATTAAAATAAGATTCACTTTTATGAAAATAATGCTTGGAATGTTAAATAATATTTTAAGACATGTTAGTCTATTGCTATTTATGTACTCCAATTATAAAGAATGGAGTTCGATGCCTTGGTATGCACAGCAATATTTTACTAGTAACTTGATATAGAGCATTCTCTGTGTTCGTCTGCTACGATTACGGTAGATTAAAACTGTGACTCGACCAGTGATGACAAAAATGCCTAAAGAGTACATGTGTATTCAGGGAGACGAACAAATTCTGTGTCCGTTCCACTGATTGCTCATTCTACACTTAATGAGTTGATGAGAACGAAACGATATATTGTTTTCCTAGGATTCAAACCTCTTGCGCTTAATACAATGCTAGGCAACACGTTAAAGTATTAGGTTACAGAGGCATATGACAATGAGTTTGACAGAATAGTCTCAGTCGATAGAGCATTAGACTAGACTCTACACCACAGATACATAGTACAACTCGCCAATTGAGCTAAGACAGCGTCGCCACCCCGATCCAAATTATGAACTATAACTTTGATTCCATTTAACACGCGACACGTCTCTACCATTAATTTATGAGACGTCATCCCATTATAGTTATTTAACGCTCTGACACTTATATCGTGCACCGTGCTTGTTCTTTCTGGCACCAAGTCGGTCGCTGCGCAACCATCAAACATTTTTATGACCCGACATTAACGATCCGGATAGCCCGTTGCGCCCACATTTGTCATAATTTAAATATATCAGGATACACAGCAAAGATACGTTCGAATGGGGCTGGCTAAGTGAATTTAATTGAACGAGCGAAAGGTTCAGAACTTCAAAGTTTTACATTTAACTCATCGTGTAGCTGATCTCCTTAGTTAAGTTTAGGTAAACGACAGGATTTGCTCTAATAGTAGCAATCTATAGCTGATAATCAACGGGTCGTGGGTTCGGTACCTTCCGGATATAACATGTTTCTAGAATCAATTTATGATATTTCTAGAAACTTCTTTCTTCTTCTTTCGTCTAGAAATCAGTATATTAAATGGGCGGCAGGAAAATCGAAATTCCAACAGTATCCACGAACTACCGTCCGTAAAAAGCTGTCAAGTTTGATCGCATTTTGGTTGTTAGAATACCCAAAGTCTAAATAGATCGACAGCGCATCTTGTTTAGATTTCTTATGGCTGGGGTATTTCTCCTACCACCAAGTATCCGACCTATACTTGCTTGTTCTCTATCATAAAAACTCATTATGTTGAGCTGATCTCCTGAGCTATATCACCTGCGTGACAGCGACAAGCCATCCATCACGTTCTTAATTTAAAATACCCGCGATTTGGGTACGAACACCGACACACGCGCGGCGCAAGCGCACGAAAAACTCGAAAACATTCTTACACGCAATAAAAGTCAACATAAACATCTATTAATAAACGCGATTGTTATCCAGCGATCTATTAGCACTTAAATTTACGAAGGTCTTGCGCAACTTCACGTGTGCCGGTAAATTAGAACAAAGTAGCTAGAGTGCTCGTAAACAGTTAATTCCGTAATAAAACCGTCGATACCTGATCTCATCGATTGGGATGACTCCGTGACTGGATTAAAAACGGCCATAAACTGGAAATAGACGGGAGGACGTCTTCAGTAGTCCATCGATTAAACAAATAAAAAATCGCCCGCCGAAAGGCGATGGCAACGTGACGGGAGACGGTCGTAAAATCGCACAGAGGTGCCGACGTGCTGCTGTAAACCTGGTTGTGTATACAGTCTCGTTGTTACAGTCGGTGGTAAACATTGCGAGAGTCGTCGCCGTCTTTACGGCGGTCCTTTGTGCGATTTGATTGCGACGATCTTGTGGAACTCTGAACTCCACCGATCGCTTAATAATAAACACGCATCCCTAATGAACCTAAAGCCTAAAATTAAAATAGCATATTCATAGACACATAATAAGGCAATCGCGTTAAAATAAAAACTTAACATGTTAACTACGGACTAACGTTTCAAATACTCTCCAGCGTTGGTTGGAAGAATTTATATGTATATTTTGAACCGGTATAAATGTTTTAAATTAATGTGTAGGTATACTAATAGATACCTACAGGTAGGAGTAATATTACTTAATATATCTTGTTTCACTATATGTTAAGTAAAATATGTATTGATGCTTCATTTCATTAGCTTGTTAAGACAAAGTTTTCAATTTCAAATTATTTAATAATACTTTGAAATAGCATACATTATGCAAATATAAAAAAAATGGTTATTTAAATTAAAAATGTTATTCTAATAAATTTTTGTCTTTGTTACAGACTATGGCTATGGACATCCCGGTGCATTCAGTCCATTCCTCCTAAACCCTGGATGGTTAGACGCGGCATACTTGAATTATGCCTGGGTTGATTACTTCAGACCGCCCCAAACAGCCGGCCTAGTCAAAGGTAAATTTCATTAATTGTTTCTTAAATTCAATATCTACTATAATGTTAAATATCCGTACGATGCTAATATCGAGTGCTATAACAAGAACAGCGGCCCAGTTAAATATTTACTCGAATAAACTGTATTCCATCCGGTACCCCTAAACTTCCAATCGACGGATTATTTGGCATTCGTTAATTTGAAAATTCCCGATTTTTCAAACAACACTCGAAAACATGTTGCTCCGTACTGAACCACCCCTCAAGGCCGTGCAACGCAAAGGCTCAAATAAAAGAAGCGTCTCTTGAGCGCTGCAAAACAACACGGCTCCGACCGAAGCAAAACCACCCGCTGAAGTCCGTTGTGGGGGGGAAGGGGGCGCTCAGCGGAAAACGTACAAAAAGGCAACGCCTTCACGTTCGAGAGAGTGTGGAGTCAATTTTATTCCAATGTAGGCGACCGCGCCACCGGCCACTTTTTGTTTCCGATGCTGAAACGCGAGGAGCGTTGTACTCAAACACCTACCGACTTTTATTAAAGCCTGCCAGGTACTTTTTCACAGAGATTCGCCAGACTGCGTATTTTGACCGGTCGTCGTGCTAACAATGATCTAGACTGCGACTGCGAAGTTTAATCGCGAAAAACCGCTAAGCACAAAATCTCTGTACTTTTTCACTTCTTTGATAATTGTTTAAGAATCTAATAATATAACCATTTCTCTTCTATACTTACAGTAAACTTTTAAGTACGTTTAAATATTTCTTCTTACATTTAAACATCCTAATAATGTTGATATACATAGGTGTAATTAAACTCAAATGTAAATACTAAGTATATTTATATCCGTGCAAACCTACAGAACACGACTTGTACCTAATAAACCTATATTAAAGAACCATCAGAAATCACCTCAATCAGGCGCAATGTCGATATTGGTCCCCACCTCGCCAAATTACCCCCTACCGCCCACCCCCGACGCCTTTTAAAGTGGTCGCTGCAGCAGTGCTACTGCTGCAAATACAAAAAAACGCAAAAGAAAGCTCCGTAGCGCCACCTCTGAGCTCTTTGTGGCCCAATCTGCGCCTCCATCGTGTACTTTTTATCAGTTTCTCTTACACTTATCGAGAATCAAAGCCCCGGTGCAGGCGACAAGAATATTTCGAACACTGTTACTAATGAAAATTTCACGGGCCGAGGTCTCTTTGTTCGTTCTGTGCGAGATAGCTTCCTTATCGCGATAGAGCCGGCTTTGTACCGCACATGTCCGTGGCATTGCCTCACGCGTGTGTTGCATCGCTAATGCGATCTCCGGATAGAACAGAAAAGAGACACGGCAGACTGAATTACAGAATGTCGCGTCTGGATCGTAAAGTTCGGCATTGCATTCGGATAAATAAATATTGCACCCTCACCCTACCGATATCGCGCTAAAAAAACATCCCTTTCGTTGAAGCCGCCTTTAAACGCCTACAGATTGTACATTATCCTTAGTACGATTATGCACCCTCGTTGTTCAGGGAATCGGAGTGCCTCAGGCCGTCCCCGGAGAGCCGTCTCTCATATTACGTCATGTTCACGCATCAAACAACCGTAGTAGCATTAAGAAGCAAATGAATCAATCAGAATAGTCAATTGACATCACGCTAACGTTAATCTTCTTTGCCTACAGGTACACCGATGACGACACCGACTGTGCCTCTTCCGCCGACGGATCTGTTTCCCTTCCCACCTGCGATGGGAAACATACCTCCAGCCGGCTTAATACCACCGCCTGGAGCCTTCCTACCTCCGAATGGTCTGCTACCCTTCGCACCGCATCCAGCAGACTTAACAATGAAGTCACTGCCACCAGAATTAACGTTGAAGAACGGCGTGAATCCCTATGACGCTCTAAGGCACCTGCAAAGCAGTGTTTCATCTATGGACAATTCTAGTGCTCGTCTCTCACCGACCAGCAGCAGACAAAGCGGTAGCCCAAGAAGTCTTATCAACGCCAGCCCAAGATCTAAAGCTGACTCAAAGTCCGAGGTCAATTCAACGCACGACGCGACGATATCCGACGAGTCCGACGAAGAACCAATTGAGGTTGTGAAATCTGCCTTCCATCCGACACGACCGGCAAACGTAGAGCTTCAACAGATGAAGCAAGTGCAGGCAGCCGATTCTACGGTGTGCGATAAGCCAAGAGGTCGTAATGAATTAAAAGCCCCCTCACAGCGGACGACGCGCGTCGTATCGACAAGTCCGACGTCCACAAAGCTAACCAACGGAACGTTATCTACGCATAAATCCGTTTGGCGACCATATTGACGTTTTTAGTGATAGTGCCAAATATTATGTCCGTAATAACCGAATAACGGGCTCAAATGTGATAAACCGAGCTTGTAAATATAGAAGATATAAATATATTTATTGTTAGTGTAGCCACCTAGTTTTAAACACTACTCAACGTAGTTCAAAGTTATCCAAAAACTGCAATTGTTATATATACGAATTGTTAAATTTAGTGTAATTAGCTAAGTCTGTAAATGATCCTTAGTCATCGTAATAAGCCATATAGATGTAATGTAAATATAAAAACGTTTGTAAATTGTGAAAAATGACTGACTATAGAAATTATAACGTAGCATTGTAAATACGAGAATTTATTTATTGATTGTAAAGATATTAACAAGGTATGTAGCAATAGAAATTGATAACTGATCTTGTACATTTTAAAATTATGTAGGTGACCGAAATAAATTGATCTATTAAAAATTAACAGAAGCTTTTATTTAAAAAAATTAAGACAAAATCTTTAATTTAAGAAAGCGTAAATACATTTTTCGTATAACAATTATCAATCAATTAAAAAAAATATTAATAGCACAGAGCAATCAAACAATAAGACAAACATGTTTTCACTTATAAAACCATAATTAAGTTATTATAAGAGCCGTTATTTATGTGTACTAAAATAAAATCTCTATTTTGCTTTAAAATTAAATAAGCTTCCTAATATATTTTCTGAAACTAATTTAATAGGCCGATTTTAATGGTGTTATTGTTTGTTTATATGGAATGACTTCTAGTAGAGAAACGTGCAGCGCACATGTTATTTTGCTATGAGAATAATTCAAGTGTTACAAACAAAACGCGGTATTTTCTATCTTAGGATACCTACATACGTAAGATCTAATCAAGTACTTACCTTATAGGGTACATAAAGTTATTCCAATGAAATCGTGACGTCATCTTTCTTTTTTAATTGAAGAGAGAGAGAGAACATAGGGATATAATAGAAGAGATCGAAGATGAAATAACTGAGCGCGAAATAAGGTCTAATTAAAATGCGTTGTCGACCTATTATAAGTGAAAGCCCGTTTCCCCCTCGTGGGGCATGGGGCGAACACATTTCTGTGTCCGTTTCACTGATCCGTTCTTTTAACGGGCAAGTACTTAGTCGATCAGACTTCTGTGCCCTGCCCGACCGAAACAAATTTGTGTTTCCCTGGGATTCGAACCCAGGACCTCTCGCGCTTAACGCAATGCTAGGCAACACGTTTAACCATTTGGATACAGAGGCGGCTTTTGGAAATTCGGAAGCCGCATACATTGCAAACCGAAATGCATTTTCACGTCACGGCGTTAACATTTGTTAACTATCCGCTTAAAGTTAAGATTTTACAAATGGTTAAAAAAAATATATTACCTTCTTCCACTGAACAACTTGTCTTAACGTTACCTCTATATGTAAAGCATTATCTTTTGAGTATTACTTGTAGTTTATACAAGTAGTGACATCTCGTGACCACGGCTGTTATAAGGCATTCAAAACGTTAGGTCCTAGTTAAAAAGAAATTAAATACGGCCTCGTTGTTGCCATGGTAACAAGGTACGGCTAATAATCAACGGATCGTGATTTCTATCGCCCCCCGGTCCAACATTTTTCTAATCAATTTTTAAAAATTTCTGAAACATGGACTTCAGAATTTCGAAATCGCGGTTCTCGGCTAAGCAAAGAATCTCTAGTCATGGAGAAACATCGAGAACAATTTCTCAATAACGACGGTCGAACAATTCGTTGACAGTTTTGCGAACAGGCCTCAAACATCTTATAGTTTAAACAATAAATAAAAAAATTACCATATTTAAATAAATAATAGAAACCTTATTACTGCTTTTGTTTAATAATGACTTAAATTAGGACATGCCAAATCACACCTAGGTACAGTAGAGTCTTTTAGTACTTAAAATATTGACGTAAAGTAAGAAAAAGAAGTGTTCATTGCCACAAAAAAAGAAAAACATTAAATCTTAAAACGAATTCTTAGGACATGCAAATGGAAATATATCAGAGTACAGAATAAATTTATATATGAACATACCACTCTCTCTCGAATCTATATCCGAACATGATTTAGCTAGGTTTGCTTCTGATCCCGGATTTTTGTCACGTGACTCGGACCCTGTTACAACAACAAAAGAGGAGATAAGGACAAATTTCTGTGTTTCTTTGATTTTTCTTTAATTTCGCTCCTATTATGCACATCATGACGTCGGAAAATCTGGAAATTAAAACGGGTGGTATGAATATCAAAATTCCATCCGGGTCACGAACCACCGTGAACAGCTCTAAAGCCGTTAAGTTTAATCACGCATCGGTTTCTGTCTAGGAATTTCCGAATATCCAATATCGAATAGGTCGACAGGGCATCTTGCTTTGATGTTATATGCCTGGGTTATTTCACCAATTAACTATTTATATTTCGTGTTCTAAACTGTTAATAAATATTATTCTTGTCAAAATTACAAACGTTGGTTTCTTGTTCGTTACCATTTGGAGCTATCGAAATCCGTTCAATAAGAATATTTTTTCCATAACTTCGTGTAAATTAAATTAAGTAATAAAAATATGTCGTACGTGCAAGGTGCCTACATCAGCTATCAATGGCGAAGCGTGATCTGGTTAGCTGATTGCACCCTGCCGCCCGGCCAGCGGTCAGCCGCTCCTCAAACAAACGACACGTGAATACTATACTGGATCCGCCATTTGTTATACTCGATCGTATCCAGTAAAGAAGAAAGTTTATAAAATAGTAAAAATGAGTTGCAAATATATTTTATATAAATATTAGTAATTAATTAATAAAAACAAGTAAAAGTTAATTTCTCTACTTAGTTAATTTGCATCTTGCGACAAAAGTGTGAATATCTGACAAAAGGTAACGAAGCGGTGACAGCAAGTAATAAGTATATATATAAAAGATTTGAAGTTTAAAACACTACTACGGAGAATATTTTAAAAACAACAAAAAATACCTACACAAAGTATTATTAATACGGGTAATATTCAAATGAGATATATACCTATGATTTTATAACGTCTGTATGTTTTACCACTTAGTATTAGGTATTTGTTTATTTATCAATAACTAGGTAAGTTAAAAATCGATTTAAGATTTATATACACATGATAGCGCAATAACATGTAAAAAAAGTAATATGTAACTTAGGTACACTCATGTAAGTATTTAACGACAAACTTTCCAAAATTGTTGTATACCTTAACTTATATATGCACTGCGTTAACTAAAAATAGAGACAAAGAGAAAACAAATCACACCCTAAAAATATAAACAAAATAATTTTTTTACTAAGGTGGTATAAACTATATAAGCTCTACTGGCTAAAGTTGCTAGGGCTTACTTAACAAAGAAAGTTTAGGCATACATTTAACTATCAGAAATACATTATCTTAAGAACAGTCGTATCTAGGATTCTACATCGAGGTAGCGCGTTGAATCAGGCCTCCTCATTATGTTACCTTTGATTCACATCTCTCAGGCGTCGACTTTATGATTCGCTTTTTGGCGAGAACTCCATACATTACACGCCGTCCTATTTGGATGTATTAAAAAGCTGTGGCCAGACGGCCGCTCCGCGTCAGTGAATGTATTTTGTTTGAATTTCAAATTTTGTTTGAACTGACGCTTCAATGCGCGAGTGATTACGCTAACAGTGATGTGCATACTGTTTTATCTACGGGTTATACGATTTCCTATTGTGTGCGATTTTATTGGATAAAATATTGGAATATTGATGGGTCATTTCCAATAGTTTGGACTCTATAGAAATAATATCAATAGCTTTTAAAAAAGGTAATAAAATTACCCGTTAAATATGACGGTTTTATTCCGAAATATATTATTTATTCCTTACATCTCCACCCATCATCCACCCAGGCCTGGAAGAGATAACTGTTAGCGATAGGGCCACGTTTTATTTATGAATTTGAACATAAGTAATTTTCTTTTATATATTTTTTTGTTTTCTAGTATTTGATATAAATTATAAAGCTTTAATAAATAAATATATTAGATATTTTAATAGAGCCATTTTGACATTTCGGACCGTACCACGTGACCACGACAAGAGCAAATATTCACTTGATGGAAGGTGAAATGTCCGCGCCGTATAACATCTCAACAAGCTCGACTTTAAATAAAACACTTTAACGGTTTAAAACGCGATATATTAGTTAAACTTATTTGAAAATGATTTTTAACCATAAATTACTTCAAATAAGTTTAACTAATATATCGCGTTTTAAACCGTTAAACTGTTTTTTTTTATGAGTAATACTCCCGTAAACTGTAGACAAGTTCGATTTTTAAATTGAAAATAACAGACGTGCCTCGATCTCAGAATCGTAGCCGCTGTACTAACAACTAAACTAAGGTAAGTTACAAATAAATGTTCATAATATTGCATTAGATATAAGTACGGAAGGAGTCATATGTATTGATCCAATCTACCTCTCATAATTATAGCATCTAGTTAGCCTACGGCGGGGTCTCTACAGTGAATGCCGATAAGGACATGCTTTTATTGTTTCAGTCGTTTCAGGAAAGCCTGTGTCCTATACCCCGCCTAAGGCAACACTGATCGAAAAAAATCTAAATGGAACCACTTTTAAACGTTAGGACGTTTCGACCAAAATAAAAATTCACTTTATTCGCTACAGCTTTGGGTTACCGAGAGGCATCGTCGTTTTTCATCTGTTAAAATTTCACTGGGATGTAATATTTTCGTGTGAAAATAAGGAAATGTGTGAGTACTTACGGCCTGTAGTCTACGCGAGTAGTACATATATAAATAAAACACTTTTACTTACATTTTATTAGTTAAGCTTGTTTACAGAAATATTTTTAACTACGGCCCGACGTTTTTCACGTTCCATCCTTAGTCACCCTGCACCCTGCTGCTGCAAAGCATCCGAAAGGTCGAACCATAATTTAATATACTTTAGAAAGTTTAATAAAAACAGT